TTACCAAGCTTGAGCGGGCGGTATCTGTCCAATGAAGTACAAAGATTTCTCTCACTGTCGGAAGGAAGCCCACGGCAACCTCCTCCTGCGACCATTTAGCGGTGTATTTTAGACTAGTGAACTGTTCTTCACTGCGTTCATTCACTGGATTGGCCTCTCCGGGGGGGGGGAGATAGCGGAAGTGCCAGGAGGTGCTCAAGCAACTGGGCTTGTGAGTTTGAGCTCTGTCTAGCCTCCACCTATTGAATATCTGGGCATGTTTGGATCTGGGGCAACGAAATCCATCCTGTGTGGTCCACAGCCTCATTGAGGCGTACGAGCCAACACGCGATATAATGTTGCAGTCTAGTCTGCATTTTCTCTACTGCTGTTTTTGTACCAAAGTTGTATCAATAATTGAAAATATTCTATTATTCAGCGGTAAGTGCAGTTGATCGTTCAGTTATATCTCACCTAAGATAGCTGTCTCGATATCCTAGTACCTTGCAGGACTGTAAACGTGGCGGATATTTTGTGGAGTACATTTATGTGAATATTAACCCAAGAATTGTCCAACGATTCTCACGCTACTTTCTAATTTGTCCTACACCTGCACATGCTTTTACTGTAGAGGTCACTGCAAGCTTGTTCTCAAGCAGTTTAAACGACATTGCATAAAGCGGTTTGCTTCATCTATTGGTGATTTGAAAACAAGACTTCATCTGAGCACCAAAATTCAGTAGCGGGTTCTCCCTTAGTCTTTCAAGATCCAAGTATATGACCGATCCGGAGATTTGGCGAACAATACGCGTTCAGTGTTTCTCTTCCTATTATAACCGAAATCGCAATCTACCCCAATCGTTCCTTAACAGGTGAGTGTTTCTGGTCATCGATACTTTGATGTACTCCCCGAGATAACCAGACAAATCCAATGTCATTTATATTGTTCCCTTATTACGAAACTCAATCATTGCTGAAGTGAATCAAAGAAACTTAGTTTACTTTATGCCTGGATATCAATTAAGAAATCTATCTGTTCACTTAGCTGTATAAAATCTGATGTACCATTACGTTTTTAACCTCAATGCTGATGGCAGCCCTTTGATTGACCGCTTCCATTCCTGAAAATTGTATCTTTGTATATTTAATAAGAGGAAGCAAAATGAAAATGAAAAATGAATTCTACGAGTACCACGTGGATAAAAAGCGTTACACAAACAGCTCCATCAATAACCTTAGCCGTAAAAACAATGTGAGGGTATTCCAACTTATGCAACCAACTTTCTATGCCAATAATTTACCTTTGAATGCTAGGCCCACTTTTTGAGCGGGTCCAAGGCAATTGTCTTTTGGGATGAAGATATTTCCGCTTGCGCATTTGCGTCGGTTCATTCACATCCAGTTGAGCCCGTGGCTTCTTTGCACTTGGTGGAGAAAAACTCATATGGTTTAGGCTGCTTTGCACCAAGCCTGGATTATTTTGCAAAGAGATAGGTCGTGCGGTGGCACTGGCGCGTTGTGCATCGTGGGTTGCACTGATCCCCATCAAGGAAGTAGTTACTGATGTTGATTTTCTACTTTCTAGGGCTTGTGCCTCGGTCAATTCCATCATTTTTATCCGAGATTCTTCCAGCTCATCAAATGGTTGAGAGATTTGTCGAGACATGGAATAATTCAGACCGCGAGATGAAATCGATCGGCAATCACTCGGATCGATTGAAAGGTAACCTGAATCTTGTGTATGTTGCGAGCCCAATTTCGGGGCATGTTGGTTTTCGATTAGAAGCAGTGATGTAGACGGTATGGGTTTATTTCCTACTCGACTATGATGCTGAAGAGCTGAGTGAAATTGAGCTTCCTCTGTTGAAGGCATGCGATGTAACTTGCATACTGACCCGCTTAATTCATTCAATCTACTTTGAGAGGAATCACATTTATCGGACGGAACTCGAGACTCCCGGTAACCATGCAAACTAGAATCAATACTAGCAGTCCGTCGATATCTGGGTACAGTACGACGTGATATTTCCATTTTTTGACGACTGGGATGGACAAAATCCAGTCTCGAAATGTGTTGCATTTGAAGCGTATTGCGACAGCTACCATCGTCTGGTACGGAGGTACTTCTTTCGAAAGTCCTCGGTGATCGCAACGTTGTTGGAGAAGAAAATATTAACGCATTCGGCTAGGCGGGAAAAGATGGAATATTGAGTAGCTGATTGATGAAATGTTTTATAATTTTTCTTGCATCAAAGGACAGATAATAAATGCAATGCCGTAGTTCTCTATAGCCACATAGTTGTACACGGATATGCTTCACGAAGAACACAAGAACAGGTAAACCTGCTTTTTCATTTAACTAGAAGTATTACTCTTCATTCGTGGAGATCTGTAGGTACTTTCTATCAAATTAAGTTCAAAAAATGCGAACGTTATCAAAAACGGAATGCAAAGGTAATTCACATGTTGCAGTCCTCCGCTCGGAATCCCAGGCGATCCTAGTCAAAACTCTGCATCTTAAAGAACCTACAATAAAGCAGAGACATGCATAATGAACAAAATAAAGGATTATGGCATTTTCGCTATTAGAAGAGAGCATTCTTCCTCATAATCAACTCAGACTCAAGGGATAAGGATTTTCAATCCAAAATCGTCTCATCCATCAAAACTATCGTGTACTTATGCCGACGGTCATTGTGGACGATTTATATCTGTTGGCCCATATCAGCCTATATGCACCAGCACTCGCACATTTGACGCATAACAACATACTAGCAAAGTTGATATGAGGTTGCTTTGCGAAGCTTCATGTAACTCCTATTCTCGCTATTCTGAACGAACACCGTAACCCTGAATCAATGTAAGTATTACACCACGTCAAGTCGTTATATGATCTGTACAGCTTCAAAAACCCCTGTTAGCCTTCGAACGAGAGTTCTTAAGTGTAACTTCTCATCAATGAAAACTTCCAGTTCGTTATGTTTAATTTCTGGAGTCATGAAAGCGTATGAAGATTTCCATTGTTGATCCTAACAAAATGTAATTACAAATTGCCTACATCATTGTGGGAATGTTGGAACTGTGATGACAGCGGATCACAAATTCTGCTTTTCTGTAAATAAACAGTATGCATTGTAATGAATTTCAGTAAAGAAAAGCTTTAGCGGATTATAATCCGCGAATATACAAACTTTCAGCCAAAAGAAGACCACGGACATAACACTGGCAAAAAGCGGGCAAAATGGGAAATCATGCGTGCAAAATTAACAAATAATTGCATTAGAAAACTCAGGAAGCATACTCTCCGTGACGGCCAGAATCCAAGAAAGAAGGTGTGGCAAACAATGTCTGTTACCACATATCCTAGATGAGATGAGCCTGTAATCGGAACCCGTGGGAGGGAGATTGACACGCACACAGCTCAATGTGTAAAACATGCAGGCAATCAGGTTGAAGCGGGTCAACAAAATTACGGCATGCATCAGTGTGACCATTACAGATAATGTTCATAAGAACTATATCATGGAACTGAGCCAATAAGACTGATGACTGTGAGACAACACCTCAGCAGCTTGAAATCAGCCAGATAGAATCACAGGGGAGTAGTAAAGGGTATGGGGAAAACATATT